AGAACAAAAGAGAAGACAGTGACCATGCCAGTACACGCAGATGATCATTTTACAAAACAAGTCTTTTCAGGATAAAACTCAGCAAAGCAGGAACAAAAGAAAAAGTCCTCAAACTGATAAAAACATTGACAGAAATTCACCACAGCCTTGTGCTACAAGGTGAAATGCTGTTAATGCTTTCCACTAATAACAGGGTTGGAGCAAGAATGTCTTCTCACTTCACATTTCACTGGCAATTCTAGTGATAACATCCTACAGCCAGGTGCAGTGGCTCAAGCCTATAATCCCCATGCTTTGGGAGGCCATGGCAGGAAGATTGCTTTAGCCCAAGAGTTCAAGACCAGACTGGGCAACATAGTGAGACTTTACCTCTGCAAAAAAAATTTTTTAATTAGCTGTGTGTGGTGGCATGCTCCTGTAACCCCAGCTCCGCGGTAGGAGGAGGCAGAAGTATCACCTGAGCCCCAGAGGTTGAGGCTGCAGTGAGGCATGATTCTACCACTACACTCCAGCCTGGATTACAGAGTAAGACTCTGACTCAAAAACAAAACTACAGCAATGCAAGAAGAAAAAAACAGATAAATGATGGGAAAGGAAGAAGTAAAATCCGTCTTTATTCACAGATAATATGATTTTATGTAGAAACCCCAAGGAACCAACAGCAAAAGCAAAGACTACTGTCAATAGAAGTATAGCGAATTTAAAAAGATCTTAAGATCGAAAATCAGAAATTAATTGTAATTCTTTTTTTTTTTTTTTGAGTTGGAGTCTCACTCTGTTGCCCAGACTGGAGTGCATGGCCACTCCTGGCCACCGCAGCCTCGAACTGCTAGGCTCCTGCGATCCTTCTGCCTCAGCCTTCCAAGTAGCTGGAACTACAGGCATTTTGATTTATTGTAGAGATGAGGTCTCGCCAAGTTGCCCCAGGCGGGTCTCGAACCCGCGGGCTCAAGCAATCCACTCACCTCAGCCTCCCAAAGGCACGGGATTACAGGCTGAGCCACCGAGCCCGGCTTAATTGTAATTCTATACACTAGTATGTTAGGGTTTGGATAGGGTGAGTGCAAGCCGAAGGTGTGCACTGGCAACCCAGAGATCCGAGCAAATGCAAAGAATTGCGACACACAAAAATGTTAAGAAAGAAAAGTTTATTTAAAAGTAAATTAAAGAAAGAGAAAGAAGAGAGAAGATTCACCTCCCCAAGGTGGGGGAGGGGGCCAAAGCCAGGAAGCATAGTGACAGCCATGGCTCGGAGAGCGCATGGCCACACCAGAGACTAGCAAGACAATGGCTGCTGGTTGCTTGTGGTTGAGTCCTTTTAACCATTCCCTTAGACGGGAAAGATCATTTGGGTGATTGGGTGGTGATCTGCTTCTACCTCATCACAAAGGGGCAGGCAAGCATGTGTACTGATGATGTCAGGTGATGGACAGCAGGCTGATGGGTGGGTTAGTCACATGATTGCTGCCATGGTGGGGCTTATCTGTGTCACATAGGTCACAAAGGGCTGATTAGGTTAACCCTGGGGGGAGGGAGGATTCCTGCAAGAGACTTGTTAGACATTTGCAACTCACAAACTCTTATGACTTTGGCCAGCCAAAGGGTAATAATCTTTGATCTTCGGCCTTGACAAGGAACCTAAAAGTTTATAGAGATTATTATGCTAAACCATGAATGGTTAGGCTGTCCTGGTCTTGTATCTGATGGAGATTTGCTGAGGGGGATGGGATAGGCTGCTGCTTGTTCTGCAGTAGAATATCTGAATGGTTTCTAATGGTTCTGCTGAGGCAAAAAGACTAAACTTAGAATAAGCTAAGTCTCTTCTGGGTTTCTTTTCTTTTCTTTTTTTTTTTTTTTTTTTTTGAGTTGGAATCTCACTCTGTCACTCAGGCTAGAGTGCACTGGCTGCTCCTGGCCACCGCAGCCTCGATCTGCTGGGCTCCGGCGATCCTTCCGCCTCAACCTTCCAAGTAGCTGGAACTACAGGCACATGCTACCACGCCGGGCTAATTTTTTATTTATTGTAGAGATGAGTTCTTACCAAGTTGCTCAGGCAGGTCTCAAACCCGCAGGCTCAGACAATCCACTCACCTTGGCCTCCCAAAGCAGTGGGGTTACAGGCTGAGCCACCGAGCGCGGCCATCTTCTAGGTTTCTATAAGTACCTTTCATTAGTAGCAAGCAGTGGGAAAATGAAAATAAAATCAGTTCTACTTAGGATGAACTAAAATAACTTAATTAGAAATAAATTTAACCCCAAAATGCCCCCAAAATTCCATTGCTGGTAGAAATTCAAGGAGTCCTAAATAAATGGAGAAACATAGCACATCAATGGATTAGAAGATTCATTAGTACTAAGATGTCAGTCCTTCCAAATTGGTCTAAAGATTTAACTTCCCCAAGTGAAATCCCAGCAGGCTGATTTTAAAGTATACTTATAAACCCGAGTACCTAAAACACCCAAATCAATCTTGAGAAACAAGAGCAAAGCTGGTTAACTCAGCTACCTGACTTTAGGACTTACTACAAAGCTACAGTAAGGATGTCATTGTGATGTTGATCTAAAGATAAACAATTTCGCTGGGGCTTGGTGGCTCACTCCTGTAATCCCAGCACTTTGAGAGATGGAGGTGAGAGGATTGCCAGAGGTTCAAGACCAGCCTGGGCAAGTTGCCAAGACCTCGTCTCTACAATATATCCAGAAAAATTAGCTGGGTATGGTGGCACATACCTGTAGTTTCAGCTACTTGGAAGGCTGAGGTGGAAGGATCACTTGAGCCCAGTAGGTCAAGACTGTGGTGGCCATGAGTGTGCCACTGCACTCCAGCCTGGGCGACAGAGTGAGACTCGGACTCAAAAAAGTAAAATAAAATAAAATAAAGATAGCCGAGTAGATCAGTGAAGGATAATGAAGAGTCCACATTTACATGATGACTTAATTTTCAAGAAAGGCATCAAATCAGTTAATGGAGAAAGAAAGGTGTTTTCAACAATGACACAAAAACAATTGGATACACATATGAAGAAAGATTAACGATAATCCCCTCCTCATACCGTATGTTAAAATGTATTTGAGATATATTAAAGATCTAAACATAAGAACTAAAAAACCAGCCAGACTCAGTGGCTCAGCCTGTAATCCCACGCTTTGGGAGGCTGAGGTGAGTGGATTGCCTGAGCCCGCCGGTTCGAGACCTGCCTGGGCAACTTGGCGAGACCTCATCTCTACAATAAATCAAAAAATTAGCCGGGTGTGGTAGCGCACGCCTGTAGTTCCAGCTACTTGGAAGGCTGAGGCGGAAGGATCACCAGAGCCCAGCAGGTCGAGGCTGCAGTGGCCAGGAGCGGCCACTGCACTCCAGTCTGGGCGACAGAGTGAGACTCCAACTCAAAAAAAAAAAAAAAGAACTAAAAAAACCATTAGGCTTCTGGGTAAAAGATAAGAGATAATATCTTCAGAATCTAATGCAGGCAGAGTTTCTGAGGGCACTGACCAGAATTACCAGAAAGGAAAAAATATAAATTAGTCTTCCAAAATTAAAAACTCTGCCTATTCAAAAACACCATTAGGAAAATGAATAGACATGCTATAGATTGGGAAAAAATATTTTCCAAACAGATATCTGACAAAAGGATTTGTATTCAGACTATATAAAGAACTCATACAGTTTAACAGTTCATTTTTTTTCTTAGTGAGCAAAAGACTGCAACAGACACTGTACAAGAGAAAACATACAAATGGGTGGTAAGTGCTTGAAACAGCGCTCCGAAGCATCCTCAGGGGAAGTGAGTTAAAACCACAGTGACTACTACTAGCTTCTAGCAGAATGGCCAGCATTAAAGGACCGATCACACCCAATGTCACTGAGAATGTGGAGGAACCAGAAGGTACTTTGGGGAAAAGTGTGGTAGTTTCATAGAGAGTTAAAAAGACCTGTACCCTCCTTGGTATTTATCTAATAGAAATGTACACCTACATTCTTAAAAATGAGTTGTATAAGAAAGTGGCATTTTGCTTCACGGTAGCCAAAAACTCATGACATGTAGACATCTGTTAGCAAGTGGATGGATAAGCAGTGGCATATTCACATGAAAGAATAAACTAAAACAACAGTAAATGGGAACGATGTGCACTACTGATTCGCAACAACGTGGGTAATTAGTGTCAAGACCGTTATACTGAGTGAAAGGCTGATACAAAGAACACATACCGTTTCCTCCATTTATTTGAATTTCTAAACTAGATGACACTAATTTAGGAGGGGAAAAAGTCAGAACTGCCTGTCTCCTTGTGGGGACGCAAGAAGAGAGGATGGACCACGAAGATGCACAGAGAAGCTCAGCATCCTATGGCTGGACTTTGTGCATTCTGGTGAACTTGATTCTTTCCTCGGGAACTGTAAAAACGAGGCATGAGGAAGGAGCAGGAATGCTGGTGACTGCTGACAAGGAGGGACACTCCCATGGTGGTTCCTAGGGAGTTCTGTTCACTTGTGCATGAATTTCCTGTAATGAAAAAAGGTTAGCGGGGAGGGAATCAGCGCTGGCAGGGGCATTTGGATCCCCTGAATAGTGAAATCAGTGTTGCACTATTCAGTTGTCCACCTAAAAATAAAAAGTAAGGCCGGGCATAGTGGCTCACGCCTATAATCCTAACACTTTGGGAGTGAGACTCTGACTCAAAATAAATAAATAAATAAAAGTAAAACAAATGTAAAGCTGTTCACCTTTTTTTCCAAAAATAAGCAAGGCGGATAGGGTTGAAAACTGAGAGATTCAGAGGACTAGAGAAGTCATTTGCCTGCAACAGACATAACAGAAATAGCTGAATCTGAAATAATTAACTTGAAATTTAATTGCAGCAATTTTTCAACTGTTAAAGACATAGCCTAGGACAAAATGGGTTGAGGTTTGTCTCCTAGTTGACTTTAATCCATAGCTTAGGATTTTGTCTACATCTGAGTCTTTTAAAATCCTTTTATTTTTAATTTGCTTTCCACATGAGGATTGATACAAATTACTGACAAAGGTAGGCTTTTTTGATGTACTCGATTTCAAAGTACTATTTACAGTGTTCTAATTAGTAGAAATATAAGTCTTTTTAAGTTATTTTAATGCTTTGTAATCATAAGGGAAAAGGAAGAACAGGTATGTGATATAAGTAGCTTTTTAAGAACTATATACTTGAACTTGAAATTGTGGCCATAAACTGCTAGTGATATAAAAGATTAGTTATTAATAAAAATTATCTGAAAGAAGGAAAGTAATCACGAAGCTTTTATAAAGTGCTGCCTTTAGAATATGTATCTATTAAGTGAGCTTGCTTTTTCTTAGTAGAAAATTGTAATAATTATGTTAATACTTAAATTGCTGTTTTCTCTTTTGATTCTTATATGTTCCAAGATAAAAATATAATATTCAGTTGGGCACGGTGGCTCATGCCTGTAATCCCAACACTTTGGGAGGCCAAGGTGGGAGGACTACTTGAGCCCAGGAGTTCAAGACCAGCCTGGGCAGTGTAACAAGACCCCTGTCTCAAATTTAAAATTAAGCATTTTTTTAAAAAAGATAATATTTGGAGTTATGCTGCAAAAAGAATTTAAGTTACTATTTAACAAATAACTAGCATCTGTTTTTTAGGTTGTTTTGAAAAATCCAATAGGCACACAGATAAACCCATGTTTGCGATCTTTTTAGCTGCAGAAGATCATAAGTAAACAAGATGACCTAATGACAGTGAAAACTAACGAAACAGGAGGTCAGGTATGTACACATGAACTAAGCATTTCCGAGCGAATGATATTGATAATAGTTGCTCTCTTCTGTTTGCTCAGATATTCCCAATAGATTTGTCAGTGGTTTAATTCTTTAATACAGTCAGGCACCTCACAACAACCTTTTGGTCAACCACAGACCGCAGGTGCGGCGGTGGCCAGAGCAGTCAGCTGTGCTGTGGCCTCACTGCATGGTAGGCTCCACCACCCCGGCCTGTGATGGTCACACAGCAGTCGCCTAACAGCATGCTTCTCAGGACAGACTCCTGTCGTGAAGATGCATGACTGTATTTTGAATCACGTGCTCCTGACTTCAAAAGCACACAGCCATGTGCAGATAAGCAGGACTGCCCTCTCAGTCACCCAACTTTCCTCCCTGCACAGTGCATGCTGTCAGTTTCCTGTGTCTTCCAAAGATAGCTTATGCACATATACACACATATGTAAGTAAGTACATAAGTAAAGCTGCATTTTATTTTCCATTTTGTACATGCAGTAGCATGTATACATTTTCCCATGCTTTGCTTTTCTTATTGTAAAAAAGAAAGAATAAGTTGTTCGAGTATCTTTTCTTTTTTTGTGTTGGAGTCTCACTCCCTCACCCAGGCTGAAGTGCAGTGACACGCTCACTGCCACCCCAGCGTCACCCTGCTGGGCTCAGGCAGTCCTTCCGCCTCAGCCTTCCAAGTAGCCAGAACTACAGGCATGTGCCACCACGCCCTGCTAATTTGATTTATTGTAGAGATGAGGTCTCACCAAGTTGCCCGGGCTGGTCTGGAACCCGCGGGCTCAGGCAATCCACTTGCCTCAACCTCCCAAAGTGCTGGGATTACAGGCTGAGCCACTGAGCCCAGCCCTTCCTTTTTGTTGTTGTTGGGTTTTTTTGTTTTGTTTTAAGTTGGGCTCTCGCTCTGCTACCCAGGCTGGAGTACAGTAGCACAATCACAGCTCACCATAGCCTCAACCTTTTGGACTCAAGCAGTCCTCCCACCTCAGCCTCCAGAGTAGCTGAAACTACAAGTGTGCACCACCATGCCTGGCTAATTTTTTTTATTTTTTGGTAGAGATGAGGTCTCGCTATGTTTCTCAGATTGGTCTTGAACTTCTCGGCTCAAGGGATCCTCTCACCTCAGCCTCCCAAAACTCTGGGATTATAGTCATGAGCAACCACACCTAGCTGGTCATTCTTATTTAATGACTTCCATAGACTTCTTAGATTTAGGAGAAGACAGCCTAGGAGAATGAGGAAGGAAGCCTTTCCACTTGACTCTAAAAATTCTGAAAACTAATTCTGAATACTTTAATAATATTAGTTTATGGACAGATTTGAATTTTAAAACTAATTATTGTTCCAGGCCTATAGTCCCAGCACTTAGAGAGGTCAAGGCAGGAGGATTGCTTGAGCCTAGGAGTTCAACACCATCCTGGGCAACATAGTGAGATCTTGTCTCTACCAAAAAATCCAAATATTTGCCAGGCATGGTGGTGCACATCTGTAGTCCTAGCTATTTGGGAGGCTGAAATGGGAGGATCACTTGAGCCCAGAAATTTGAGACCAGCCTGGGCAGCAGAGTGAGACCTCATCTCCACAAAAACATTGAAAATTAGCCAGGTGATGTGTGCCTGTAGTCCCAACTGCTTGGGAGACTGAGATGGGAGGATCACTTGTTTCCAGGAAGTCAAGGCTGCAGTGAGCCATGATCATGCTACTGCTCTCCACTCTGGCTGACAGGATGAGATCCTGTCTCAAAAAAAGACTTTTCCAGCCTCCAGTAGTGCTGAGGCCTCTTTCTCCACCTCCACCCCTCCCGTGGTATCAGTGGAGGCTATGAGAGAGCACTCGTTGCCTTTCATGGAATTCTCACTGAATAATTTTATACTCAGGAGGAGCAGGTATTCCGGACAGTCAGCAAAAGCTTGAGGCCTTTTCTGCTTTAATTCTCTCACTTTTGCTTCATTAGAAAATGCCGGAGAACATATGTTGAAACAGCCTTTATCTCACCACTCTGAGCTTCCTCTCGGGCCTCACCTGAGTTCCTGTTTGCTGTTGGAGTTGGTCTGAGTCCTCTGACCCTTGTGTTTTCGCCTGTTGGATCAGATGGCTTAGGGTCCTGGAGTACAGGGAGCAGAGGGCATGCTGCTTCCCTCTCCCACCTCTGTTTCTCTTTTGTCTTTTTTGCTGCAAGGATCATTTACGTTTGTTGACCTAAGAGTTCTACCGCACAGCTTCCATTTTTGTTTTATTCATAATTATTTTAATTATTGTGTAATTTGTTGTTATAGGAGCCAACAGTGAAAGAACCAGAAGTGAACACAACCCTTCAGATGCATTTCTTTGGGAAAAGAGGAGAAAGAAAACTTCATTACAAAGAATTTCGAAGGTAAGTGCAAATATTTATATTCACTTTTGGAAATGTTATGCTATTATAAAATACCATTTTCCAGTGAGTCAAAAGACTTTCTAACTGAAATACCACGTAGCCATTGAAATAAAAACTGCAATTTAACTCTGTCTCCTGGAATTGTGGCATCTTTTTTATTGTTGTGAAAACAGCAGGCTGTTTAAACTGTGAAAGTTCAGTTCTTTATCCACTTGTATAAGGGGGATCCCCAAAAACGGAATTTATTTATTAAAAATTGTATATTTATTCATACATATTCAGACTTCAATCACCTTCAAAGTGCTCTCCATTGAATGCGATGCTCCTGTCAAGACACTGTTTCCACTGCTCAGAACAGTTTTTGAATGCATCGATTTTAATGCCTTTCAGTGCTTCTGCCATTTTTTGTTTCACCTCTTCCCCATCGGCAACATGTTTCCCTTGGAGGACTTTTTTCACTGGGAAAACAAAAAAAAAAGTCACTTGGGCAAGACCTTGTGAATAGGGAGGGTGGGGCCCAGCGGTCATGCCATTTTGGGTCAAAAACTGCTGAACACTCAGCACGGTGGGGGCAGGGCTGCTCATAAATCCCCATCATGAAATGGGCAAACACATTGAAAGAATCTCCAAAAAGAATTCACTGAAGCCCAACACAGCCTCTGACAACACTAGCTGGTATTCGGATGGTGACGGGTTCCTAGAATATTTACCTTGCTGGGGAAGCCTGGACTACAAGGGGCCTGCCCTCCAAAAGATAATTACAGGTTTTTGGGGGGCCCCCTCATATATAATTGGGAAAGGAAATTGATGCCGAGGCCCACGGGTGGCGCCGTGACGTTTCCCGTGCGAGAGCACCACTTGCTGGGAATGTTGCCTGCGCCCGCGCCCACTTCCCTCTTGCCTCCTTGGAGTCTTTTCCGCTGATGTCATTCCTTTCTTTGAACTCTGATGGCTACCCCTAGGGAGGGACCAGAAGTGCACCTTGAGCTTGTTTCTAGTATGGTACGTGTACCCTCGTGTTTTATTCCAATAAACTTTTTTTTTCAGTTGGATTCTCACTCTGTCGCCCAGGCTAGAGTGCAGTGGCACACTCTCGGCTACCCCAGTTCGACCTGCTGGGCTCCGGCGATCCTTCCGCCTCAGCCTTCCGAGTAGCTGGAACTACAGGCACACGCTACCATACCTAGCCAATTTTTTATTTATTGTAGAGATGAGATCTCGCCAAGTTACCCAGGCGGTTCTCGAAGCCACAGGCTCAAGCAGTCCACTTGCCTCAGCCTCCCAAAGTGCTGGGATTACAGGCTGAGCCACCAAGCCCAGCCCCCAATAAACTTTTAAAACTGAAAATAAATCTGTGACTTCAACGTATGAGAGAAATGACCAGAGAGGGAAGGAAATTGGCCTCCAGTTTTCTTGTCAGGATCACTGGGAGGATATTGATAATGGTGTGGTTTTTAGGGCTGGGGTGTTAAAAATGCTGCAGTGTCCGTTCTTAGTCGAGGATACCCTGAGTTTCTTGAAGAGTCTGTAAATTCAGAGGGTTTGTTAGCAGTGATGTGCCAGCAAGTGTGTTTAGCACTAAGCCAGCTCAAGAAAAGCAGCCTTGGTTGGCAGCGTTTGTCAGTGAGTGTCAGTTACCAAGTCAGTGTCAGCGCCCAGGCAGGTGAGGGGCGGAAGGCCAGCCCGGGACTCACAGCTGGGCCAGGCCTCCAGCACGCCACGCCCAAGCCATGCCCTTGGTGGAAACAGGTTAATCCACGAGTGTATGAATGGGGTGATTTGTTCAGAATGTGTCCAGTGGCCTTATCTGCTGTAAATTCTTTAATTCATATGTGTATGTCCAGATCGCATTCTAGATTCTCATGTTATAACAAGACGTGTAATTTCAGACTTGAAAAGATTATCGTCACAAAATACACTTTATCCTCTTCACAAGTAGTATAATTAGTTAAGATGAAAGTAGCTTAAACCAGACCATGTATAGTTTAGCAGTAATTAAGTTTATAACATTTCAGCCTCTGGTACAAGCTCAAATAGAGCCCGAAGAAAAAGAATAAGAAAGAAGCAAGGTAATAATTTTTTTTTAAGTTGGAGTCTCACTCTGTTGCCCAGGCTGGAGTACAGTGGCACGCTCACAGCCACCGCAGTCTCAACTTGCTGAACTGAGGCGATCCTTCCACCTCAGCCCTCTTAAGTAGCTGGAACTTCAGACACATGCCACCATGCCAAACTAATTTTTTTGATTTATTGTACAGACGAGGTCTCTCCAAGTTGCCCAAGCTGGTCTCAAAACCCTGGGCTCAGGCAATCCTCTCGCCTCAGCCTCCCAAAGTACTGGGATTACAGGCTCAGCCACCATACCCAGCCGGTAGTAATGTTTTTATACCACCTTTTCAGCTTGCCTCATTCACTCTACACCTATTTGCAAGTAAAGCATGATTTTAACATTGCTAATAAGAATCAGTTGGCCGGGCTCAGTGGCTCAGCCTATAGTCCCGTGCCTTTGGGAGGTTGAGGTGAGTGGATTGCCTGAGCCCGCGGGTTCGAGACCCGCCTGGGCGGCGAGACCTCATCTCTACAATAACTCAAAAAAATCAGTCGGGCGTGGTAGTGCAAGCCAGTAATTCCGGCTACTTGGAATGCTGAGGTGGAAGGATCGCCAGAGCCCAGCAGGTCGAGGCTGCGCTGGCCGGGAGCGGCCACTGCACTCCAGTGTGGGCAACAGAGTGCGACTCCAACTCAAAAAAAAAAAAAAATCAGCCGGGCGAGATAGCACATGTCTGTAATTCCGGCTACTTGGAAGGCTGAGGTGGAAGGATCGCCGGAGCCCAGCAGGTCGAGGCTGCGGTGGTTGGGAGCAGCCACTGCACTCCAGTCTGGGCGACAAAGTGAGACTCCAACTCAAAAAAAAAAAAAAAAAAAAAGAATCAGTTGAATGTTATCACGGTACAATAAAACTCAGCAGAACAAAAGGCAAAGTGTCAGTAATATAGCTGGTTGATCTATCAGTCCAAACTGGAAATGCTTCAAGTTTAGAGAAAAGTTCTGCTTTCACCCGGAAAGAGACATGGCATTGACAAATCTGTGTAACCAATACATTCAGATGTTTTGAGTTGCTGACTCTTGCCTGCCATGGAGACAGAAGCCTAGGATCAGATTCCTCCTCCACACACTAAGGTTCCTGGGATATTGTGGACCCCAAGCAAGTCATGTTTTAACAGCGGCCATTTTTCTCCCATTGACCTAAAATGTGCCTCTTTTTTTGCTACATGTATGTTTCCATTTAAGCTGTGACAAAACAGACAGGACACATCTTAACATGTGAAGAGTGAATCACGTGCTCTGCTCCATGTTACAATTCACGGGAATCAAATCCTTTTCACATGATTTAGATTACAAATAAAGCACGTGAAATAAATTCTAGGTTCTTGGGTTCAGAGAAAATGTATTTTAACCTGATATCTTTTCAACTTATACCTTTCCTGGGAAGCCATTGATGACAGTTTGATCAAAGTGTCACATTGTTTTTATAAAAAAGGAATGTTGAGTCATATAGACATAATGTTATTGTCCTGAAGATTATAAATATTTTTAGGTAGATCTAAGCTTTTGCTGCGCAGCCGTTTATCAACTGTGACATCTGAAAAATATTAGAAAATGTTAATTATGCTTAGCTTTGTAAAAGCATCCCACCTGATTTTAAATTTCACTGATTATTGCTAATTTTTCTATATTGGAAATAAATTGTTTTCCATGGAATTTAAGTTTCTGTGGATGTATCAAAGCAACAGTTTACATAATTTTTACATCTTTAAGTTCTTCAGAATGTAGGTTTCCAGGAATAATTTACACAAACAAATTGAGCGTAAGGTATGACAAACAGAAGCAAGTGTTGGCTATCAGCAGCATCTTGCAGCCTCGGTAAGCCTGAGGCCCTGACACAGTGTCTCACTCACCACAGAAGGGGCAGCCACTCAGCAGGCGTAGTCGAGGCCTTTGCAGTCCCGCTTACAGCACTAAGGTTGGATGCCACGAGTTACTTATACCCATTTTGTATTCTAACATTTAGGTTTATGGAAAATCTACAAACAGAGGTTCAAGAAATGGAGTTCCTTCAGTTTTCCAAAGGGTTGAGCTTCATGAGAAAAGAGGACTTTGCAGAATGGCTGCTTTTTTTTACTAACACTGAGAACAAAGACATTTATTGGAAAAATGTGAGAGAGAAGTTGTCAGCAGGAGAGGTTGGTATAACCGTTTATTATGCGTGTGATGGAAAGGAAGTAAGTCAGACACCTTGCAGTATTAAGTAAAGTGGCTTCTAAATTAACCGGCACCATGCAGCTATTATGTACAGAATCTGCCAAGGAGTATTCTCCACATGCTGCTCCTGTAAACAGGCTTCTGTCCACAACAGACTCAGTTTGTCACCTGTGACCTCTGTGCTTCCAGTACAGTCAGGAATAAGAAAGAACCCACTGTCCCACTGTTCCTTCCTATCATTCTGGAAGTCCTACCCAGTGCAAACTCGCAAGATTTTTTAAAGTATATACAGTTTTGAAAATTAACCACATGGGGAGGGGGATAGTGATACATAATAGGCCATTGCTTTTAATTTATGGTGAGATCTTAAAAAGTCAGTCGGGGCAAGATGGCAGCCACCACGGGCTTGGGAGTAAAAGTCCCTCTCAATTTCCGACTGTTGGAAGAACTCGAAGAAGGCCAGAAAGGAGTAGGAGATGGCACAGTTAGCTGGGTTCTAGAAGATGACAAAGACATGACACTTACAAGATGGACAGGGATGATAATTGGGCCTCCAAGAACAATTTATGAAAACCGAATATACAGCCTTCAAATAGAGTGTGGACCTAAATACCCAGAGGCACCCCCTTTGGAAGATTTGTAACAGAAATTAATATGAATGGAGTTAATAGTTCTAATGGAGTGGTAGACCCCAGAGTCATATCAGTGCTAGCAAAGTGGCAGAACTCATACAGCATCAAGGTAGTCCTGCAGGAGCTGCGGCGCCTCATGCTGTCCAAGGAGAACATGAAGCTCCCCCAGCCGCCCGAGGGACAGTGTCACAGCATCTAGGCCCGCCAGCCACGGCGCCCTCCCTGCACCACTGACGCAGTCTTCATTTTCCACAATAGTGAATTTCTAGATACGTCTTGTAGACCTCAAAGTACTGGAAAGGAAGCTCCCATTGAAAGGCAATTTATCTTAAGGTACTGGAAATGACACTAATTTTTTGTCCACTTGAAATATATAAGTTGTGCTATAACAAATCACCCTGTCCAGTGTAACCACTGTCCACGTAGCTGAACTTCTGGGATCAAGAAAGTCTATGTAAACTGATTCCCATCGCCACTGGTGGGGCACATCTAACTCAACTGTGAAACGACATATCACACAATCACTTTGCTGCAGAGATTACACGGCCTGGGGTCTCTGCCTCCCCCCCGCCCTCCCCACAACGGCCTGAGCGCAGGGGCCTGTCAGAGCAGATGTGAAGGTGTCCAGTCAGAGCGTGTGGGACTACTGCTGGGCGTGGGGTGCTTTGCCTGCGCCCTTGGCTTCCTTCTTCAAGTCTTAAATGACACCCCTGCCAAGCCATCGTCCTGTCCCCACGCACCCCCCGCCCTTGGCCACAGCATAGATTGTGACCCCGCTGCTCCCCGGAGCCTGGCCTTCAGCGAGGAATTCGGGGCCTCCCGCCTCTCTCGCCACCTTTCACGGGCTGCTGCTCCCCCCCACAAGTCCCCTTTCTGCGCCGTCACCACCCGACACTTGCCATGGCACTTCCTGGCTGTGGCCAGAAGCCGTCAGGCAGGGCTGGAAAGTCCAGCCTCCCGCGTGTAGTCCTGGAACTGCATCTGTTCACGCTCCATCGGCCTGGGAAATGAATTTGGGGCCCTCGGTCCTGCCACTGTCCTCCGCTGTCACCATCAGCTGATGCGTTGTTCAGCTCAGGTTTTGACAGGTGAAAAGAACAGTCACCAGGGTTCCTCAGACTCACCCGTTCCTAGAGTCCTTAGCGGTTAGACTCGGAGAGAGGCCGCATGAAGAAGACACTTGGAAGCACATATGACCCTTCTGAATTGTTTTCTTTTCCTTTTACTGCTTTTGCTTTTAAAAATGGCAGTTTTCAACAGGGCTCCCGCTCGGTCAGCCTTGCCGCCCGCCAGGATCTAGCTTGGAATCTGACAACTGGAACAGGAGAAGCTTGACTGTGGGGCACGCCTGGGTTTTGGTCTGCTGCTTCTCACAAGCCTCAGCAGGGAGAAGATGGACGCGTGTGCACAACAGGCCGAGGCTGGGGGCCGACTCCGCACCGCCAAGCTCCCACTTTCTGTTCAGGACCACTCAGTGCTGACGTGTGGATGCATACCGAAATAAAGCAATCCATTGTGTACTCGAGGTTTCTCACGTTAGTATTTGTGTAAAGCCACCTTTCGAAGCAGCAACCATCGAGTCTGAAAGCAATCGATGTTTCCATTAATCTTTTTCTGGCGGAAACGTTAGTTCTAAGGATTTAACATCCTGTAAGTCAAGTTGAGCATAACAGTATTCCATGGGCAGCCTTTTTATTGTCAGACCATTGCCTGATTTTAATATAATAAAAAAGTGTGCGTTAATTAAAAAAAAATCAGTTGGTAATGGCCAGGCTCGGTGCCTCAGCCTGTAATCCCAGCACTTTGGGAGGCCAAGGCGAGTGGATTGCCTGAGTCTGCAAGTTCAAGACCCACCTGGGCAACCTGGCGAGACCTCATCTCTACAATAAATCAAAAATGAGCCGGGCGTGGTAGCGCACACCTGTAGTTCCAGCTCCTTGGAAGGCTGAGGCTGTAGGATGGCCAGAGCCCAGCATGTCGAGGCTGCAGTGGCCAGAAGCAGCCACTGCACTCCAGTCTGGGCAACAGAGTGAGACTCCAACTCAAAAAAATAAAAATAAATCAGTCGGTATCGAGAACTTTGAAGGGTCTGAGATTTTGGCCTACTTCATACCTAATGAGATCTTGAAAACTGACACAGAGTGACCGAGTTTGTATCTCAGCAAGCCAGCCTGCACAACTTCGTGGATGCAACGGAAGACACAGGAGACAGAGAACTCACTGTCCTAACGTGGCCACAGCCCTCACGCGCATGCACATACACACATGCATGCACATGCATGCATGTGCACGCGAGCTCTGATGTCTCTCCCCCTCTTAGAGCGACGCCGGCCTTACCAGGCGAGGCCCCACCTGAGGCCCTCATGTGACCCATGCCCTGCTTGCACGCCCTGCCAGTCACAGCCACACTGGACACTGGGGCTCCAGCGTGGCCACAACATGGCCATCTGGCGTGTGCCTGCAGCTCCAAGGGCCCAGTCTGCACAGCCACACAGCAGCCCTGCTGGCTATTCTCTGACAGTTCCACCTCGTATCTAAAACATACTGTTCTTATTCTGTCTTGAGCTTTTTAATAGACTTGCTTAAAGAGGTCTGAGGTCAGTAAGCTTAGGGCAGACAAGCAGACTTACAGTTGTGTCACAGATCATTTCCTGTATTTACAAGGTGATAAAAAATCTCCTTATTCTCCTAGAGCATTAGTCTGGATGAGTTCAAGTCATTTTGCCATTTTACAACCCACCTGGAAGACTTTGCTATCGCCATGCAGATGTTTCACTTAGCTCACCGCCCAGTCAGACTCGGTAAGCTGCACAAGTTGTTGAACTGTCACCATCTATCAGCAGACTCATGGGTCTTCAGCTAGACAGTGCCCATCAAGGATCTGGTTATCGGCAGAATAATCAATTGGCCTTTTAACACAACATGGTTAACCTAGATGGACAACACTAGCACACCAGTGTAATGGTTACTTTACTTGCTTTAATTTTCTCATTCTCTTAAAATGAGTGAAATATTTCAACATGTGTTGGAAGCATTGATGGAATTAAGTAGCTCGTCTATCCTGTGCTTACTCTCAGGCCATTTCTCAGCCGAGTTTATGAATTGGATATGATCTTGATGGGTGTTTTCACTTTTATTTCCCAAATGATAAAAATTTAGATTTGCTTTTACTTCTTAAATCGTGAAAGTTCTTAAATCATTAAACTATTTCACGTCATGGATGAGTCACGTTATGTTTGTTTCTAGCGGAGTTTAAGAGAGCCGTGAAAGTAGCAACAGGACAAGAGCTCTCAAACAATATCTTGGACACCGTCTTCAAGATCTTCGATTTGGATGGCGACGAGTGCCTCAGTCATGAAGAGTTTCTTGGGGTGTTAAAAAACAGGATGCATCGAGGTTTATGGGTAACGATTTGGAGTTCTTAAATACATAGATGTTTACGTGTAATTAACAGAATGATCTTAAACCAGAATCTGGGCAGCGTACACAATCCTCACATGGAGTTTTCATCTTTTAAAAGATATTACAAACTATAATTGAAACGCTGAAACAGTCTAGACTTTGACTTACTGCCCATCGTTAAGTACCTGTAGGTTCAAACACCAGCTCTAGCTACTTTTTTTTTTTGAGTCAGAGTCTCACTCTGTCACCCAGGCTGGAATAGCTGAAATGCAGTGACACACTCACGGCCACCACAGCCTCAACCTCCTGGGTTCAAGTGATCCTTCCACCTCAGCCTTCCAAGTAACTGGAACTATAGGCATGTGCCACCATGCCCGACTGATTTTTTGACTTACTGTAGAAATGAGGTCTCGCCATGTTGCTCAGGCTGGTCTCAAACTCTGGGCTCAGGCAATCCTCTCACCTCCGCCTCCCAACGTTCTTGGATTACAGGCATGAGCCACTGTGCCCAACAGCTCTGGCTTTTTTTTCTTTTTTTTTGAGTTGGAGTCTCACTCTGTCGCCCAGACCAGAGTGCAGTGGCCACTCCCGACCACCGCAGCCTCGACCTGCTGGGCTCCAGCGATCCTTCTGCCTCAGCCTTCCAAGTAGCCGGAACTACAGGCACGCGCTACCACGCCCGGCTAATTTTTTTATTTATTGTAGAGATGAGGTCTCGCCAAGTTGCCCAGGTGGGTCTCGAACCCACGGGCTCAGGCAATCCACTCACCTCAGCCTCCCAAAGGCGTGGGATTATAGGCTGAGCCACCGAGCCCAGCTAGCTCTGGCATTTTAACTGCTGAGTCTTGCAAAGCCACTTAATTTTTCTGAGCTCAGATTCCTCATCTGTGTAATGAGGAAGCTGATAGAATCTACCAAAAGGAATGATTGTGAGAATCAGACATGAAACACTTCATATAGTGGCTGAGACCCATGAAGTAAATGTAAGGTGTCATCATGATTCACTCAGATTGACATATTGGTCTGTAACTATGGGACGAAGCCAACTCAGAATGTTGTTTAGGTTAGAATCTGCTAGAAGCACTGTCATGAACCAAGTCTGCAGAGGAGAGCTAGCGTCCAGAGGTGGTAGGTGGGCAGGAAGCAAGGAGGGAGGGACAGAGAGGGGAGGAGAGTTCATCATGAAGACAGAACAGTCCGTCTGCAGCCTAGAACAAGCAGTTCAGCTTCCTGCAGACACGTCATGTATGGAAAATTGATAAATCGGTGTTCATTAGCAAACAGGTTTATAAGCTCTGCAGTCATCCCACACCCCTAGTTAATCATATTGCTAGAAATTAAACTGCTCTTTGCAGTAAATTATTTCATGTACCTGGGAGCCTCTGTGCCCTTTAGCACAAAACATTATAAAGAAGAGCTGTAAGTCAGTGACAGAAAAAAGAACAGATGTAATCTAAAGTAGACTTCTGCTCCCATTTGGCTAATTTCCAGCAGTGCTGTGCTCCTGTGGTCACCAGGACCCAAGTATTTTCTAACCTTTACTTTTTCATTTTGTTGAGAGGAGTAATCACCACAGAGTATTTTTGTTTTCTGTTTGGTTGTTTTTTTGTTTTTGGTTTTTTTTTTTTTTTTTAGTCGGAGTCTCACTCTGTCGCCCAGGCTGGAGTGCAGTGGCACACTCAAGACCACCACAGCCTCAACTTGCTGGTCTCAGGTGATCCTCCACCTCCACCTTCCAAGTAGCTGAAATTACAGGCACGCACCAGCACGCCCAGCTAAGTTTTGGATTTATTGTAGAGATGAGGGCTTGCCAAATTGCCCAGGCTGGTCTTGAACCCATGGCCTCAGGCGATCCTTTCACCTCAACCTCCCAAAGTGCTGAGATTATAGGCGTGAGCCACCACGCCCGGCCCTGTTTGGTTGTTTTTTGAGTTGGAATCTCACTCTATGGATCAGGCTGGAGTGCAGTGGCATGCTCAAGGCAACTGCAGCCTCAACCTTCTGGGCTCAGGCATTCCTGCCTCAGCCTCCCAAGTAGCTGGAACCACAGGTTCACGCCAGCATACCCAGCTAATTTTCTTATTTATTGTAGAGATGAGGTCTCGCCAAGTTGCCCAGGCTGGTCTCACCCCTGGGCTTGGGCAATCCTCTCTCCTCTGTCTCCCAAAGTGCTGGGTTGACAGGTGTGAATCACCTGACCACACTGAGTATTTTCATTCACAAAGCACTTACTTAAATCAGAGTATTTTTTCTTGAAGCCTCTAATCAAATATGCCGTGACTTATCTTTTTTTTTTTTTTTTTTTTTTGAGGTGGAGTGCCATGGCACATTCATGGCCACCCTAGCGTCAACCTGCTGGGCTCCGGCAATCCTTCCAAGTAGCTGGAGCTACAGGTGCACACTACCACACCCAGCTAATTTTTTATTTATTGTAGAGCTCTTGCCAAGTTGCCCGGGCTGATCTTGAACCCACGGGCTCAGGCAGTTCACTCGTCTTGGCCTCCCAAAATGCTGGGATTACAGACTGAGCCACCGACCATGGCCTCATTTTTTTTATTTTTAGTCAAGGTTAAATTACGGTTTTAGGCTTATAATCTTTATCCCACACATCTAAGCAAAGTCCACCAGAAAAGGGGAGCTGTTATAATGTACTATAAAACGAAAGCAATATGAAACAGTGAAGGTTGAAAACCAGCCTATGAAGAAGAGGGCCGAGTCTCCGCCGTGAGCGCACGCTTATGCAGCCTCCTGCCTCAGCACCCCAAGATGGCCTCTGTCACACCCTGTTCTGTGCTTTCCCTTAGTTTGCAGCTCGTTGCAATCATCTTGTACAGCATAGCCTCCCACAGCCACTTTCAGGAGGCATGTGGGAAGGAAATCAGCAGTGGCGTCCTGTGCCCAGGAAGTCCTGCTGAACCCTGAGAATGACCCCTTAATCCTTCTCTTTGGTTGGCAGGTACCTCAGCATCAGAGTGTGCAAGAATACTGGAAATGTGTGAAGAAAGAAAGCATCAAAGGAGTAAAAGAGGTCTGGAAACAAGCTGGAAGGGGTCTCCTTTAAAGAGGGCCATGCAACAACTATACTGCCAGAAGGCCAGCGTTTCCAGCTGAGCTTAAGTGCCAGCCATTTGTCTCTGCCGTCTTCATGGGTGTCCTTTGTCATGTAAACATGCTTGGTGCTCACTCTGATTCAGTAATCTCATTAAGAAACTTAGTAGGAAGAAAAGCCATTCTTCAACAAGACCATACCGGATTCTGCCAGAGGCCTCAATGTGAAGAGCATTTTGCATTTTGGCGAGATGGAACACCTCGCCGGTCACTGGTGTCCTGGATACTGTAGCATGAGAAGATTCTGGAAGGATAAGCAAGTGCTATGGAGGAAAGTAGTTGGCATCCAGGCCAGTGTCCATCCTGGAAGTACTGGTGTCCTGCCAGGATAAATGGAGTCAAAAACTATTTCAGGTTCTTATCTGTGCCATCTGTCTCAGACACGTCTTGTAGATTTTATGTCAGTTGCTTAACTGTCTATCAGTCATCTTCAAAATAGCACGTAAATTTCAGTGTCCTGTCTGGAAGCAGAATAAAGTATTTACATAGATTTAAAACAAAATACTGAGTTGCTTTTTATTTTGCGTGTGTTTTTTTAAACTACATGTTTAAACAATTGTAAATATATTCATTCCTTGCCAACCTCATTAGTATATGTGTAGTTGGGAGGATTTTGATCACAAGATCAAAGTGAATGCAGTGGCTCACACCTGTGATCCCAGCACTCTGGGTGGCTGAGGCTAGAGAATCGCTTGAGCCAAGGAGTTTAAGACCAGCTTGGGCAACATAGCAAGGCCTCATCTCTGCCCAAAAAAAATTTTTTTTTTTTTTTTTTGAGTTAGAGTCTTACTCTGTCACCCAGACTGCTCTCAGCCACTGCAGCCTCGACCTGCTGGGCTCCAGCAATCCTTCCGCCTCAGCCTTCCAAGTAGCTGGAACTACAGGTGCGCGCTACCACGCCTGGCGAATTTTCTTTTTTTTTTATTGTAGAGATGAGGTCTCGCCAAGTTGCTCAGGCAGGTCTCAAACCCGCAGGCTCAGACAATCCACTCACCTCAGCCTCCCAAAGCGCTGGGATTACAGGCTGAGCCACCGAGCCCAGCCAAAAAAAAATTTAAAGACAGCCAAGCATGGTGGCATTTACCTGTAGTCCCAGCTACTCAGGAGGCTGAGGCGGGAGGAGCCCAGGAGGTCGAAGCTGTCATGAGCTATGATCCTGCTACTGCACACTTATTTTTTTTCCTATACACACACTTATCTTGTAAACAACATAAAGCACTCACATATATACATGTTATATAAATATTAAAGAATTTATAATAGAATAACATGCAGTTCATATGTATATGTTCAGTTACTACTACACTAGAGGACCCAAGAAGATGAATGTGTCTGTCTTTCTGAAGCACAGTCTAGGTTCAGTGGCATCCGGAATATACAGCAACATCAACAACAAATGGAACCTGTACGATGGCCACATAGGTACCTAACCCTGAACTGTACTCCACATCTTTAAAAAAAAGTTGTAATTATAAAAACAATTATTATAAAAATAAATAATTCCTGGTGTTGGGTTTTGTTTTTTTAGTCCCCCTCATATAAAAGCATTTTTTCATACTTGACTATTGAATAATATTTAGCTGAAGAAATTCAGATCTATAATAGTTTAAAATAAAACATTTTTTTTTATCATGGAGAACTCATTAGAAAAGTAAGCAAACAATATGGATTTGGAAATTCACTGTGGAGAGGTGAGATTCCCGGTGGTGGGTGCGTCTGAGTGGCCAGGAAGTGCTTGAGCTCATTGGTAACTAGAGAAGTGCAAATTAAAACACCATCACAATTTGCACCTGTTGGATTGGCCAAAAAATAGAAACCTGACCATATCAGATGTAAGTGTGGACTTGGAGAAAGGGAGTCTCTCGTGCACTGCTGGTTAGAGAACAGTCTGACAATCTGTCGGGACACAGACGTCTCAGTCTTGGACAGATGTCCCAGAGAAGCAGGCACACACCTATGTGCGGATGTGCACAAAGGTGTTCACTACCACTATTTGCAGTGGGGGCAGTTTCAGGAATCCGAGTGTCCCTCACTGAGGAAAGGCACAAATAAAAGGTGGTAGTACACACCGTGGAAGGCTTCGGTCGTGGTCCTGAAGCCACAAGGACCACGAACTGGAGCGATGTGGACAGATCTTCAGAATACAGCATGAAGTATCCGGCAGAAACTGGACCAATAGCAAATACACTTCATCTAAAACTAAAGCACACACTGCAAAAGCAACAGTCAACAGGCGGTTGGGGGAACAAGTGACAAGAGGAAACAAATGAAGGGAAAAACAATACTGGAATAAAATAAGCTGGGCTTTAAGAGGCCAAGGAAGGAAGATCACTTAAGGCCAGGAGTTTTAGACCAGCCTGGGCAACACAACGAGCCCCCTGTCTCTGCAAAATATAAAACAAAAAAATTAGTTGGGCATGGTGGCAAGCACCATTCAAAGGCTGAGGTGGAAAGATTGCTTGGGCCCAGGTGTTGTGTTCAAGGCTGCAGTGAGCTTACCATTGTGCGGCTGCACTCCAGCCTGGGCAACAGGAGTGAAGCCCTGTCTTCAAAATTAAAAGAAAAGACTCAGCCGGGCTCCGTGGCTCAGCCTGTAATCCCGCGCCTTTGGGAGGCTGAGGTGAGTGGATTGCCTGAGCCTGCGGGTTTGAGACCCGCCTGGGCAGCGAGACCTCATCTCTACAATAAATCAAAAATCAGCCAGGCGTGGTAGTGCATGCCTGTAATTCCGGCTACTCGGAAGGCTGAGGCGGAAGGATCGCCGGAGCCCAGCAGGTCGAGGCTGCGGTGGCCAGGAGTGGCCACTGCACTCCAGTCTGGGCGACAGAGTGAGACTCCAACTCAAAAAAAAAAGAAAGAAAGAAAAGACTCACTGCTGGGATCAAAAAGCAACCAATCAGCTCACCATTAGACCCCTACCTCCTACTGATTGGTCCTTTATACTGACCAATCAGAACAGCTACAGCTCACAGCAAGTGTTAGCCAATTGGCTTGAACTTAGGGCTATATAAGCACCAGGTTTTTGACCCCCAGATAGCCAACCCCTTCGGGTCCCCTCCCACTATGGGAGGTCTCCTATCCTCAATAAGTCCTACTTTCTCACTGAAAAAAAAAAAAAGAAAGAGAAGGGCCATTGATGGTTGTGTGCGTCCAAGCTGGGGATTGTGGCTCCCCATGCATCTGAGGTCTAACACAGAGTGTCTACCCTGAGGCCTGCAGCACCACCCGGCGGCGTCGCTTCGGGTCATAACAGGAGAGTGCGTTCATGCGTCTAAAGAAAGTCCAGAATCAGACGCAGGTCCGTCGGTAACCTAACCTTGATTTCCCTTCCAGCAGGGAAAGAGGTTGTAAGTAACCCCTCCGTCCTCACCACAAGGACAAAGTCAAACTGAAAGCAACAACTCGTAGACCCATGAGGAAACAGCTCAAGGGGAAAACAGCTGCCCCCAAACCAGAGACTGGCAGGCAGGTGCAGAGAATCCTACCTTACTGGAGTGGAAACCTCTGTGGGAGTCAGTGCTGGAGAAGGAAACCTAAACTGTAATTGATGAGTTGCAGGAGGCTCAGTGTGGACCAGTTTAAAGCTAAAAATTCCAGAGGGGCTGGGCACGGTGGCCCATGCCTGCAATCCCAGCACTTTGGGAGGCCAAGGCAGGAGGATCGCTTGAGGCCAGGAGTATGAGAACTGCCTGGGCAACATAGCAAGACCCTGTCTCTACAAAAATAAAAATTTCCAGAGGGAGCTGGGCATGGCGACGTGTGCCTGTAGTCCCAGCTACTTGGGAGGCTGAAGTGGGAGAATTCCTTCAACCCAGAAGTTCCAGGCTGACATGCACTTGGATTGCATGACTGCACTCTAGCCTGGGCAACATAGTGAGACCCTATCTCTTAAAAACAACAACAGCAACTCCACAGGGGCCCAGAAACTCTCACAGTGAAGACTGGAGGAAGATCCATCTCCTCATGCTTCCAGCAGGAAGAGAGAAAAAGTGACCATTGTGAAATTCACCAGAGCGGCCTGTTTTTAAGGAGACCTGACCTCGAGAGCAGTGGTTTTGCCAGAGGCCAACCCCTGGGGTTTCACTGCGGCCTCACCTGATGGGAGTCTCCGTGCTTTCAACTCTGGCCTTCAACATGGGGGAAGCAGACTCCCCCATCCCAGCCCCGCTAGGCTTCCTGGCTCACTTAAAGGGGATGGGCTGAGAAGCAGTCGTGACAATCACAGCCCAGGGCGCAACTCACACCACCAAGACCTCGCAGGTAGGGTGGAGAGCTACCCTTTTCCACACCTCACACGGTGTCAGGAGAGCCCCTGCATCACCACTGAGAGAACTGCACCTCTCAGACCTCATGTGCTTTTTATTTATTTGCTTATTTATCTTTGGAGTCGGGTCTATGTTGCCCAGGCTGGAGTGCAGTGGCTCGGTCATGGCTCACCGCAGCCTCGACCTTCTGGGTTCAGGCGATCCTCCTGCCTCAGCCTCTCAAGTAGCTGGGACTACAGGTGCTCACTGCCACACCTCGCTTTTTTTTTTTTTTTTTTTTTTTTTTTTTTGGAGACTGGTCTTGCTATGTTGTCCAGGCTGGCCTTGAACTCCTGGACACAAGCGATCCTCCCACCTTGGCCTCCCAAAGTGCTGGGACTAGAGGTGTGAGCCACTGCACCTGGCCATACCTCATTTAAGTAGAACTCTCAAAAAATTTTTTAAATAAATTAAAATTCTTGAAAAAGAGCTGGGGCCAGGCTCGGTGGCTCAGCCTGTAATCCTGCACTTTGGGAGGCCAAGGTCACCGAATTACCTGAGCCCACGGGTTCAAGACCCGCCTGGGCAACTTGGCGAGACCTCATCTCTACAATAAATCAAAAAATTTAGCTGGGTTGGTAGCGTGTGCCTGTAGTTCCAGCTACTCGGAAGGCTGAGGTGGAAGGATCGCCGGAGCCCAGCAGGTCGAGGCTGCGGTGGCCGGGAGCGGCCGCTGCACTCCAGTCTGGGCGACTCAGTGAGACTCCGACTCAAAAAAAAAAAAAGAAAGAGAGCTGGAAGACAAACCCACCTCCCTAGAATCTGTATCCAACAAAATTATTCTTCAAAAGTAAAGGAGAGGCCAGTTGCTGTGACTCATGCCTGTAATCCCAATGCTTTGAGAGATTAAGATGGGAGAATGCTTGAGCCTGGACGTTTGAGACTAGCCTGGGCAACATAGCAAGACTGCAGTGAGCAGTGGGCAACATAGCCTGGGCAACATAGTCAAGGCTGCAGTGAGCAGTGATAATGCCACTGTACTCCAGCCTGGGCGACAGAGTGAGCCTCTAACTCAAAAAAAAAGGCGGGGTGGGGGACGTGTAGCCAATATACCTGCTTTGCAAGAAGTGTTGAAAGAAATTCTTCAGAAAGAAGGCGTTGTCCAGGTCCGAAACTTTGCCCTGTGTAAATAAAGGGGGAGCATTACAGAAGGAAGAAATGAAGGTAAAATAAACTCTTATATTTTTCTAATCTAACA